GCCGCCTACAGGAATGGGGACCACTTCTCAGCCTTGCCATTCCATCTATGGGAATGATGTTTAGCGAATGGGTCTCACTGGAGATCAACAACATATTTTCGGGCTTTGGCACTCGTGAGGAACTCGCAGCATTTGGTATAACATTTCAGTTATCGGGTATCTGCTGGGCATCTGCCTCAGGGACGTTTATTGCAGCCTCCGTGTTGGTGGGGAATGCCATTGGAGAAGGAAAACCCTTGTTGGCACGTCGTATGGCATTTTGTTGTTTATTCATGACCGTCACGATTGCACTGCTTAACTTGATTGTTGTTTCCCTCGCAAAGAATCTCATTCCACGTATATTTACGGATGATAAAAAGGTCATTTCAATTGTTCACTCGTTACTGAAGTATTTTTTTATCTATCACGTCTTTGACGCATTTCAGAGCGGCGTCATGGGCGTCCTACGGGGGTGCGGGAAGCAGAAACTCGGCGCATATGTTATTCTCCTTGTGTACTCCATTGTGGGTGTCCCGTTGGGTATTATATTGTTTCTTAAAACCGGCTTTGGGATTGGGGCACTGTGGTTTGGCCCAGCCTTTGGTGTAATGGTGGCGGGGTTTCCTGTATACATGTACATACTGTTGTACCACATCAAGTGGGGAGAGTTGAAGGCACACACGGATAGTCAAGAGTTGAGCGGTGTCATTGTGGAGGAGAATGTTGATGAAGTGCTCGTGTGCAGCAACGATTCAAGCGAGAACGGCGAAGAAGGCAATAGTAAAAATGATGACAAGAAGACTATTTTAAATGGCAAAACATCTCAAAATAACACCCCGACACTTACAAGATCGCCCTCACCCCAACCGATAGGGCAACAAAAGCGATATCAGGTAGAGACTAACGTAGCACGGGAGGGTACTGAATGAAACGGATTACATAAGAAAACTCTATTGGTGCTGTTGATTATTTTTAATAAGCGTTTGTGAGAATAAATAAATATCTCTGTATGACTCTCTCTCTCTCTCTCTCTGTGTGTGTGTGTGTGTGTGTATGCGTTTTTGTTTGTGTTTCTGTCTCTAACACCCTTTTTGTTAAGCACCCACATATATGTATGTATGTATCTACATACCGCAGCGAAGGAGGAGTCATATGGAGCGGTAAATGCATCTGAACAAGAAAAGGAAAGAACAAAAAAAAAAAAAAAATTATTTGAAGACGTACGAAGAAGTGACGAAGAGGTTTAAAAACTCGTGAGGCGAATGAAATTTGATTTTGAACGTAATTAGCCGAAATATGCGGATGATGCTTCATGTATTTATTTATATATTTTTGTGTATTTTGGTTGAGTGGCTGAGAGGTGTTTTTTTTTTTTTTGTTTGTAGGAGGAATAAGAGAAAGAGAGAGATGTGGAGAAGGAGAAGGAAAAAAAAGGCGAAAGCGCTGATGCCACGAATAAAAGTGTTTTCGATCAGTCATTTATGACGTCTTTCTCTTTTTTTTTTTTTCTTTTTTTAAATTTTTTTTTACATTATTGACTTTGTAATTTTACCGTCTAGTTGGTTTTGTTTTTGATAGTTGCGGCTGTTTGTGATATTATGCGTCTTGAAGGGACTTTTTTGAGGTTTGCTGGCCGTGAACCAAAAGAGAGGGGGGGAGTTGACATATCGACATAATTATAATTTATGCGTGATGGCGGTGTGTAGAATACAGTTTTTTTTTTTCTTTCTTTCTTTCTCTCTCTGTCTGCCTGTTTCTGCGTAAAGGGAGTACATATATATATATATATATGAGAGGGAGGGAGAGAGGGGAGGGGGGTGATAGCGTGGATATTATTTTTATTTATGTATGTGAAATGTACTTTCATTCATTCATTCATTTTTTTTTTTTGTTTTTGTTTATTTTTTGACTTTTGTGAATCCGCGGTGGGGGAGGGGGAGGGGGAAAGATCATTTGGGCAGGCAACACAGTATGAATGTCGGGTACGTTTTTCAGCGGAAGAGCGGGCTAACGACACCAACTGGACGGGTGTGTGTGCATTCATATATTTATATATTTTATATTGATGCGAGGCACACACACACACACACACAGAGAGAGAGAGAGAGAGACATGCGCACACAAACACAAACACGGACATGGAGTGAGGCCCGATAAGGGAAGAAGAAAAAAAAACAAAAAAGTATAAAAGCCATTTATGGGTGTATACACATATATATATCTATATATTTATATATCTAATTATTTACATTTACTGTCATTGCTCTTATTGCGTGTCAATGTTGTTGTTGTGGTTCTTTTTTCTTGTGCTTTTAAATAAATAAATAACATTTTGTTTCTGTGTTTTCTTCTTCTTTTTTTTTTTTTTGCATGTGTTTGTTTCTGTTGTTTTGGGTTGGTGAGGTGGGAAAACGCCTGCGACGGCATGGCGGTGATCCCAAAGGCTGGCCAGGTGTTTCATGGCGAGGATGGCACCTTCTCGATCGTTCTCCCGGATACATGCGATCCGAATAATGAACCGACGCAGGAGGAACTGCTGGACTACGCGAATTGGCTGGGGATTGACGCGGAGAAGGAGCCACATCTGCTGTGGATTGCGCGTCAGGGCCTGCGGACGCCACTACCAGCAGAGTGGAAGGCATGTCGTACAGGCGAGGGAGACGTGTATTACTTTAACTTTTTGACCGGTGAAAACAGCTGGGAACACCCCATGGATGACGTGTTCAAGCGTAAAGTCGAGGAGGAGCGTGCAAAGCTGGTGGACGGTGAGGGCGGTAGCAGCAAGACGAGAAAAAAGAGCAAGTCATCATCCACTGCGGGAGGAAAAGGTGATAGGGGGGTGGAGAAACGACGTCTCGAGAAGGGTGCGGCAGGTTATGTGACGTCGCCCGAGAGGTCTGGGAAAGGGGGAAAACTGAGTGCTGTTATGTCACCAACATCATCGACGTCCACATCGCCCATGACGAAAGGGCTGCCGGCAACTGCTCTGCGATTTGGTCGATTGGGTGCCCTAGGAACTCCGGAGGCAACGCAGCGTCTTACCCCGGACGTGAGCGGGTTGTTGAAGCCATCGAATTCTGGCGACCGCTCGTTTACGCGGTTTGGTTTTGGTGGTACCAACACGAGTACGAGTAGTCTGGGCTTGGCTGCCGGTGGGATCAGCGGCGGTATCGGCTCGGGGAAGTTGTCGCTGACGAAACCGCCCGATGGGGTGAAGGAGATGGAGGCACAAATCCGTCGGCGCATCGATGAAGAGATGGACACCCGACTACGAGCCATGCGGACACGCCATGAGAAGCGGATTATGGAGGAGCGTACGGCGATGGAGAAGGAGCTGCAGAAAGTGAAGGAAGACGGCGAGTGTGCGGTGGCGGCTGCGCAGCAGCGGCATGCGGAGGGGGTGAAACAACGTGCGCAGGCGGAGTTGGAGTCTTTGCGACGGGCGCTGGAGAAGGAACACACGGAGACGAAGGGACGTGTGGAGTCGCTGCGGCAAACGTTGCAGCGGGAGCGGGCATCGATGGAAAGCACCCTCCAGGAACGTCTGGAGGAGGTGAGGAAGAAGTTGCAGCTGAGTCACAGCGAAGGATTAATTAGGCAACGTGAGGCGTCGGCGGCGAGGCTGAATAAAGAGAAAGCACGACTACTAGAGGACCTCGCGCGGCGGTTAGATGCGGAGGCAAATGATCTGGAGAAAAAAACACAAACAACTGTGGAGAATTTCAAGAAGACTCTCGAGGCCGAGCGGGCCAAATTGAAGGAGGAACTTAACGAAAAGGCGATGGAACATGGCGACCGCAGTGCGTCCAGCGCGGCAGCGGAGGCCGAGGCGCAGCGGGCGTACGAAGCGGCAGTGCAGAAGGCAACAAGTGATGCTGCAAGCGCCATGGAAGCGTTGCGTCGTGAGTATCGCCTCAAGGAGGAGAAGCTGCGGGCTGCAAAGGAGGAGGAAAATTGTCAGGAGAAGGAGTCGTCCACGGCGATGACATCTTTTGGGGACGCTAACAAAAATGATGGCCTGAAGCGTAGGGAGGCGGAGGCGGAGGCGGAACGGCTGGAGCGAGCGCTGAAGCAGAAGATCGCACAGTACGAGGCGGAGACGCAGCGGCTGGTGGCGACGAGGCAGGCGGAGATGATGAAAAACATCGGGCCATTAAGAGACAACGCGGAAAGTGGAGACCAGGGCGGCAGCAACAAAACCAGTAGCAAAAATACCAAAGTGGGTCATTTCGCGACGGCAGCTGCGCAGGAGCAGCGACGGTTTGAGGTTGCATCTCGGCGTCTGGAGACAAAACACGCGCAGTCAATGGATCGCATACGCCGTGAGCATGAAATGATCCTGCGTGAGAAGAACCTTTTCAACCCACGACAATCCTCTGGCTACGTGGAGAAGATACAGGAGGAACACAAGTCGTGGTTGAAGGCACATCCACCGATAGCGCTGACGATGCCCCAGCTGGAGCCCGTGCCGGCACTACCCGGTTTAATGGACGTGTCTCCCGTCCCAATGCCAGACCAGGAGGAGCAACAGAAGTCTGTCGACATTGCGGTCACCGGCGCGAAGCAAAAGAGGGCGGTTGAGGATAGGAAGAAATTGGCGGAAATGGAGGCGGCGCTGTCAAGAGAGATGAAAGAGGCGGTGGCTGCGTATCATGAGAAGCGGCTGAGGGAGATTGAAGCCCAACTCACACAGTATCGAGTGACACAGGCGGAAGAGTACCAGCGACGAAGTTATCAAATGGCTGCTGACATTGCAGAGGCGGTAACCCCACAGTCATTGCAGCTTCGAGGAAAGGCGGAGGATCCGGTGCCGAGGTTGAATGAAGTGAGTCTTGAGGAGGCAAAAATGCGTGAGGAAGAAATACGACGGCATCTTCAAGGACGTATTGATGCATTGGAGGAATTGAAGCGGCATGCACGGGATGAGCTGCGACAGAGACAAGAAGAGGCTCAAAGAAAAACTTTCACTTTGACTCCTGCAACCATTGCGCTGCAACGTCCTCCTCCTGTGCCAACGGAGACGTTTTTTCCAGGGTGTCAGGAGCAAAAATTTTCCCCGCGTCCTTGTCAGCAACAGCAGCAGCCACACGGTCCCCTTACGCCTGTCTTGAATCGCACCTTATCGACAATAGCTCCTGCCAACAGTTTGTGGAGCAGCACACGACCGAGTCCGACGAAACCGTATCATTGGTTGAGTGCTGATAACGCGGCGTCTTCTCTCTCCTGGCAGGAGAACCACGCACCGTCGGTAGGAGCGGGAAACGTTGAAAAGGTTTTGCCATCCTCACTGTCGCAACGCGATGTTGTATTGGAAGATCGTCTACATCGTGCAAGTTTATTACTGAAGAAAAAGAAGGAAGAGTTACGTGCCCAGCAGGCGCGCATGGAGCGGGCCCGTGATGCATGGCGGCGGGACATGGAAGAGTGCCGCAGGCAACGTGACCGCAAGCATGCTTTAATGTTGCGAGAAGTCAAGGAGGTGCTTGAAGAGAAGGCAGTACAACTTAACCATGAGGTGATGGAGCTAAAGCGAGCCACTCAATGGCTGCGTAAACGCACAGTGCTTTATAAACAAACACTGAATATTCAAACCTCTAATCTTGCTTCTGCAGAAGAAACGAGCACGGCAGATCACACTGCTGCCAATGGCTCCGGACGAATCATTTCTCTGCTGAAGGACATTCTTGCGAATACAGAGCTGCTGGGGTCATATGTGGCATCAACGAAAAAAACGGATGCCAAGACGTTGCGTCATGGGCGGTGCCGTTCACCTGCATCTCCTCCAAATTCTCACACCTACACCCACCCCAGTCGTCATGGGGACGCATCGTCACCGTGGAAAAATGCCAGACCATCTGGCGTCACACGGTGGCTTATGGAGCAGTGACTGCCCACATATGAACTGCGAGGGGGAAATATGCGTTCTGAT